AAGCTATTATTTTAAATTGATTATTTAAATTCATTATTTAGTCAAATGTAATGGCTTAATGTTTATTTTAGGCAAAAATTTCCAGCTGTATCAGTAAATAGCTGTTGGAGAGACTGAAGTTGAAGAGAGAATGCTGCTCTTCTGTGTGTAACTCCTTGGATAAAACTTCGATTGCACAAGCTTGGTGTAGTGAATGGAACAAATGTGGCTGAGTAGTTTTGAAGTTCTTTAGAAACACCACACTATGCCTTTAGGGCATTATTTATACATGGCAAAAGTTGGGTTGATGCTGGCAAGCCTGCCTGACAAAATGTGGTTCTCCATTGTGATGCCTGAGATAATATGGGCGCCAGACATGGGGTGACTTTCACAAGTGAACTCTGCAGGAATGGTTCCAGACATGAGGCTGAATAAGTTCTGCAAACACTGTCAAGTCAGAGACAGCTGTCACACTACAAATATAAATTTAATGTGTAATGCTTCATACCAGCAACTTGGTAATATTTTTGATAACTCAAAAATTTGAATCATATGTCGTCTTTGGCACACAACTGGATCATTTCAGTACTCTCTAAACAGTTTCTAAGTTGAAATAGAAATCTTTCTTTTGTCTTCCTTTGCATGCTGTAGGAAAATTAATGGAAATTGCATTCCTGATTGAATGTTGGTGTTAACCCTGCAGTGAGCAGGACCTTTAACTAGATGACCACTGAAAGCCTTGTCCAGCCTAAATTATTCTATAATTCAGTGATTTAAGTGATTTAAGAAGTGTGTTTGCTTTCTATGTGAATCAGTCTACACCATTCAGAGACACGTAGTTAGGCATAAATATAGTTGGAGCCTTTCTAAAAGGAGTCTGTGAGCACTTTGAGTGGCTGTGGAGATGAGGTTTGCTGTCTGTATCTCACTTCTGTGAACGTTACGACTTCCACCCTGTGAAATGGAGCTTCTGCCTGCATTCCTGGTTGTGTTGGCTCAGCAGTTTGGGAGTAACTGAACCTCACTTCTCCTTGGAATCAAAGGAATGACAGCCCAGCAATGTGCACTCCTCTTGTGTCTTAAAGCCTCTTGTATTTGGTATAATAATGTTTTTATGCCTAGTGTTACCTAACAGTGCAAGTCTATCAGGGCTACTAACTGATAGATTTTTGACATAAAATTACAAGTCTCCATGTTTGCGGAAAGATAATTTTGGCATGCTTATGGGATAGTTAACCAGTTGGAAAAGTTTCCAACTGATACTTGCTGTTAGTACTAAGGAGAATTATTGTGTTGCTTGTATATTTTCTGGGTTAGATCGAAGTGTGAGGTGTCTCACTTTATGTTCATTGATCATAGAATCATAGAACAATTTGGGTTGGAAGGGACCTCAAGGATCATCAGATTCCAGTTCCCCTGCCACAGGCAGGGTTGCCAATCTCTAGATCGAGTTTAGATCAGATTGCTCAGGGCCCCATCCACCCTGGCCTTGAATACCTCCATTGACAAGGCATCCATAACCTCCTTGGGCGACCCGTTCCAGCATCTCCTGGTCTTTCGGGAAAAAAAAAAAAAAAAAAAAAAAAAAAACCCCCCCCTGACAAATAATCTCAATTTCCTTTGCTTTAGTTTAAAACCATCCCCCCCTTGTCCTATCTCTCTCTATCTATGTAAAAAGTTGTTTTCCCTCCTGTTTGTAATTTCCCTTTGAACACCGGAAAGCTGTAATGAGGTCTCACCTCAGCCTTCTCTTTTCCAGGCCAGTGATGGTTTCAGTATTTCTTGTGGTGCATGGGAGAATCAGTTCCAAAAACTACTGGATCAGGAACTGTCAAGCCATCATGGTTCATTCTCATACCTAGCCCATAGCTAAAAGATCTGCATAGTTTTAAGCACTATGATTTGATTTCTTTCATTTTGATTATCTTTCAAAGCAAAAACATTTGCAATTGTTTAGGTCTTCCTATGTTAAATTACATCTTTCTTGTGAACTGAAGGCATCAGTGGATGGTGAAGGTAGAAGAAAAGTATTGAAGAAGGATTACATCTTTAGTAGATATCCTTGAAAAATATCTGCAGGGAGAATACAAGAGTTGCCAAAGAATGACAAATTTTTGTAACTGTTTTTTTCATTCTAGTATTCAGGGAAAGGGAAGCAAGTCATATTCTGTGTGCATTTTTTTCCCTTAGTGGACTATGGGAGACTTCATTATGCTCAGTTTGACTTTAACTGCAAAAGCTGTTCATCTGGAGTACGTGTAACTGCAATGACTGTTAACAATGGCTTCGTTTTACATTGAAGTGCTGAGAGCAGAGAAAGTAGGAGGCTTTACAGAAAACATCAAGCAGCCTTGATGTGGAGATTCAATTTTTCATACTGATTTAAAAATGGGCATTCTAGTTTAATGTAGTTTTCCCCAAAATCTAAGAATTTATGTTTAATACATGTAGTTTAAATATTTTGGTAACTGTATATTTTGATCTTTTACTTATCTGTTAGTGAATTGCTAGGCTTCACTGTCAGAGGCACTTGGTCTTATACACTTGCCCCAGTACTAAGTTAATATCAAATAATTAGGGAATAGCAAGTGGAAAGAAGTGGAGCATAAAGATCTTTCCTGGGAACTGTTCACTTCATGTCCAGCTTAATCACATGGGTTTATAAAGACTTTGTCAATCATGCTGAGACATGCTGACAGATAATTCCCATTGGATGAATGTGGGTAAGCACTGGATTTCAGAATGTGAGGACAGACATAAGAGTGATTTAGCTTGCACTTCCTTTAGGATGCAGCTTCCTCAGACATGGCTGGGCTTGATACCAGCATGTGAAAGGCAGGTCTATTAGTTTTCATAAGTGCCCTTCATCTAATAGCTGGCTGTGCAAAATGTGGTTGGTTCTGTCTACATATTGTGATGTCAGACATTTTATTTATCCGCTTAACTTGTGTCATGCCATCTGGAAATACCATCTCTGCAAGAAGAAATATAAAAGATGTTTTATCCAGGGCGGTGGGATTCTACCTGCTTTGTTGTTGCTGTTGCTTGTTTTTTATAAGCTGTAGCTCAGAGTTCAGATTACAGCACCTCATTGCATGGTGTAATTATGCCCAGAGACTGCAATTCTGGTTTGTAATGAAAGGGGAAAAGACTCATGGTCTGCTCAAAAGATGTTGGTTCTTTATTGAAACACCTGACAACAGAGACTATCTGATGATTGTTGTAAAGTATATGCTAATTATAAACCCAAATGTTTGGTAATACATGCTAGTTTTATCTGTAAAGCTTTTAGTTTTATCTGAACATTAGGATTTAGTCATTAATTTTCATTTATTGAAATCTTCACATTCACTGATTATTAATATAAAGTACGTTTTATTTATTTCTACTTCTGTAAAAGCTATAGTACCATTCACCTATAGCAGGCATTAACTCAGTACAGTGTCTTTAGCATTTGTATATACTGATGTTTATCAGCCAACCAATCTGTTCAGTACTATGCTGTGTGAAACCCTTCAGGTTTTGGTACAGAAAACTGAGTCATGGCAAGTAGAAGCAGGGGAAGCCAAGGAGAAGAGTGAGAACCCATACTGAGCTACTAATATTAAGTCTTTGTTCTCCCTGTAATAAAATGTTGTTTTACTTGCTCATATTTTTAAAGTGTGCTTTATGCTACGTACATTTAGTGGATCTTAGAGTTTGCTTTGTCTTAAGGTTGCTTTGTCCTTATCATCAGTCTTAAGCAGAACATTTCTCTGGGAATATCAGGCAATGCGTGGCTTTCATCATATACCTCAGAATATCTGACTTTGATTAAAAAAAAAAAAAAAAGTCACAGGAATTTTCCTGGTTTCTCTATGGAAGTGAAGAACTTACCAGCCCTATTTCCAACAATTTGAATATGCACACTAACGCAGAAAAATAACCTTCTAATGAGAGCTCAGGTTTTGTTTTAAAGGAAGTCTGGAAGCAGGCCAAAGTAAAGCTTTTACTTTACAGAAGCATGTGGCAAGCCTAGGTTAAAAGGATATTCAAGGAAAATATTTTTCTCTGTGATCACACTATACTTAACTGCAGTCAGCTTGCTGAGCGTGAGAATATATTACTGGTCCCTTCCAACCCAAGCTGTTCTGTGAGTCTATGTTACATCTTTTAATTAATGTTGAGGATTAGCTTCTCAGGATGGTCATTGCACTGCAGGAGAAAGTGAAAATGTAGGGAGAGTTCAGGGAACTACAGATATATTCCTTTCTTGTGGAGAATGTACACAGATGTGACTTTAGGAAGAAAAGGGGTTGTTCTCTGCAATCACCAGAACTTAGTGAATGAAAGGTAGTGTTGAGTACTTCTTTACTTATTTTTTTAGAATTGAACTTTTTCAAAGGAAAATTGAAAGTATTAAGTGGTGAGAAAAAAATAATGTATTTAAGGTTTAAGAAATGAGTACTTCTATTTGAGATACGGGCTGCTGTTTTTTTTTTTTTTTGGTAGTGTAGTGCTGATTAATGAATAAGATCAGGGTGCTACTGTGCCTGTAGATTACCTGCTGCTAATAACCTTGTGGCTAAATCATTTTCATAAGTTAAAAATTGTAGAAACTTTACACAGTACTACTTATATTTATTCAACTTTTTGTTCAAGTGTCTCCTTTTGACTCATTCTGTCTTGTCGAAGTTGTCATTCTTTCAAATAAAATACTAACTTAGAAACATCATATAGCTCGTCTGTTTTGTTGATAAGCAAAACCATATGAAATTTCACATATGATTAGATCTGCTAGTTTCCATGGAATGACAGAACTTTTCCCCACCATTCAAACACTAGAATAGAAAACTGTAGTATTTTGGGCTCACTTCTGCAAATTCTTGCCAGTTCTAACAGCCTTTCATCACAGAAAATCACTCTGATTTTAAAGGAGGCAATTCCAGGAATTTAGGTTCAGTAAAGGCATTCTCCTTCTGTCAGTAATGAACAAATTCCAAAATCCAAATTGTAAGACTGTAATTTTATTTTACATACAGTGTGCAGTAACTCTGAAGAATTTACTGTAATAGTTCTGTGACCTCAAAATGAAGAAGGAAGCTACTGCAGGTAAGTAGACATTTACAAATTAGGCTCTCTGTAGAAGTTTATGCTAAATTTGTAAACATAAAGCATTCTTTTGTCACCATAGAAATAATAATTTAAGTTCCATAATTCCTTTGGGTACATTAAAATGAGTCTTTTACTTTTCAGGGTTATGAAAAGATCAGCATTTTTAAGTTCCACAGCAATTATCATTGTATTCTTTAATAAGCCAATTTAATGTTTAAAAATGAATGTTTAAAAACGAATAACAAGAATGGATCTCTTAGGGTTTGAAATGGACAGCATCCAAAGACTTCTAAGCTTATAAATAATAAACCCTAGTAGCAGTTATTTTGAAGAGGCAGCAAGGCAAACATTAGGCATTACTGATAAAAATAAATAAATTGAATCACGTATAACATTCTGATCCCATCTGAACTGATGACAGCTTCCTGTTGCTTGAACTTAAGGTTTAACCTTTTGTCTTGTTATGTACTTTTAAAGCACATGTGTGCATTCAGAATTGCTAAGACAGATGATTGAAAGTTATGCAGAACTTACAAAACATGGTTGGTGGACAGATGGAAAATCTGGAGAATGTTATCCCTAGCTTACTAGCTGCCCTATCTCTTCCTCACTAAATTCTTCTCTCAACTTAGGTCAATACATTTAACAGCTCAATAACTAAATGGCTGGACAGAGCATGAGCTTCTTCATTTTTATAGCATGCATTGTCTTATCTTTGTATTTTGTTTGGGATAAATAAGATGGATTGCTTTACTATTCTGTTCCAAAATCCTCAGCAATGTCACAGGAGAAGGTGAGCTCCTCTCAGTATGAATTAGGTTTTTTTAAAATGGAAGGCATTGTATGGGACATGTGAGAAGACCTTGATGTGACTTAAGCAATGTTGATATGACTGCAGGATTGAAGGCATCTATACACCAGCTTTAAGCAAACTGTTAAGGGATGTTAGGAATGGCCATTCCCACAGTTCTCCATCCCAGACAAATGGACAGGACTGCTGCTTTCTCTTTTGCAGGTTCCACTACTAGCGAGGCTAAATGCTTACCCTTGGGACGTGCACTCAGACACCTCCAGTCATACAGACTTTTGTAGGCATGGTGCTGCTTTCAGCAGTTAGACATTGATGTAAGAGCCAAGTCCCTTAAAATCTCAAATCCCTATGATTCTTCCTCCTTTTGGCAGGTAGAGACTGACTTACCTAAGTCCACTCGCCTATTCCCCTAGTTGCTGGCACTTCATCCTTGACTGGAAAAAGTAAAATGGAAGAGATGCTTTTGTTCTATTTCCTTGATCTCCTATTGACTGTCAAGCACAGATCAGAAGCATGGGAAACATTATAGTGGTTACAATGCTAATTGGTGCCAACTCCAAGCATTTTTGGCATAACAGATCTCTATCTCAGATCTTACATTTCTTCCACTAAAATTGGCATCCAGAATGGTTCATCTCCTAAATAGGAAAAAAATGAAACTTGAATAAAATAAATGGAGAAAGCACATAGCACAGATACGACAGACAGGATTAGTGGCACACAGACCCAAGTACAGAGAGTTATGGGGAAAGGTGAAGTGTGTAGAGGTCCATCTGTCTCCTAAAGGATTAATAAGGAAACATGGTAGTATGATTTGAGAGATCATTGGTGACTAAGTGAGAGGCAGTCAGACCCTTCCTGAGGAAGGAGGGAGATGTTGGAAGATGTTAAGATGGCACGTAGTGAAGTGAAGGACAGGGAAGCAAGTAAGGAAACACCTTCTTCTACAAAAGCATCAGAAGGCATTCAAAAGAAACATCTGAAATGCTGAATGTCTTCTTTTTGAGCCTTTTCAAGGATTTTATAATCTGTGAGTATAATCGCTATTATGTACTATGCGTTACAAGATGTATTTTTCTTAAGAAGTTTAGAAGGCATCTGTACTAATAGTAAGTACTCATGTAAGTGGCACTGCTCAATTTTATTTGAGCTGTTTGTAATACAAGTATTAAGGACTGCGGAGTGATTTCTTATGAGCTACTGTAATATTCCTGCATTGAATGGAATGTAAATCACAGCAGAATTTCTTCTGTGGTATAGTTGTATCCTGTACTGGTCACAGCAACAGAATCTAGCCTCAACCAGAAAAGTACTGATTATGTTAAAGAACCGAATTTCATCCACATCTTTATTAATATCTTTGTTAAAGGGGAGTCTTGTTTAGAGTCTCTTTCTTTGTTGAGTTGGATTTTTTTCTAATCTCAGCAGATAACTTGAGAGAATGTGTACGGCTTTAGATACAGCTTTGGATTTTTACAGTAGTAGGATCTGGATGTTCTGTATTTGAATTCATTTTCAGATGTAACTATTTTAATAAGCAGCATTCAGAGACTTTACATTGTTGCCTAAGTGTTTTTCCACAAATGTGGAATGTAATCTTGAATTCTGATTTATTATTTTGAACAAAATAATTGAGCAAGTGTGATTGTTTATTCACTAACACAGATTAATTGAATAATAAGCAAGCAATGTGAACATTTGTGGTTGCTTGGTATATATTTTAAAAATCCTGTGAAGGACAGGAAAAAAAATCTTCTTAGAGACAGACATTATCTCCTTTTTTTCCACTGACTTTCAGGGCTAGTCTAAGGTTAATATATGGCTGCTTTATTCTAGTGAGTAGAGGCTTTATACTAGGCTTTTCATTACCTCTGGTTTCTTCTAATTTTCACTTTTCATTTTTCTGTTTAGGTATGCTCATATCTTAATTTGTTATAGTACTTTCCACATTTTCATGCATATGAAACATCTTCTTGGCTGAAGGAAATTGTCTATCTCAGACACTGCCAAGGGTTTCCTAGCAGGGAGTGTAAGGAGTACATGATTCAGTCATAGGCAGCATGGAGGACTTGGACCCATCTGAGTGGAAGATCTGCTTCTTAGCACAAGTGTGACTGTTTTAAGACATCTGGCTTTTAGAATAACAGATTGTTAGGAAGATTTAAAGAGTTACTTGATGGAGACATGGACAGAGATAAGACCTGCTTGGGCAGTGACTTTCAGTAGCAGTCCATCAAGGCCCAAAAAGTTTTGGAGATCTGAGCATACTATGGGATGAGGACAATGGGATTTGGCCATGAAAAGTTACCTTTCTACTAAAACTGTAATTAGTTTTGTTTTTAAAAGTCAGTCTATTTTGTCTCCTGAGTTTATAATTGTGGTTTTCAGCATGTGATTATTGGTCTGCAAGAGAAGTAGAAAGCTCTGAACAAGTTCTAAGATATTCATGAATGATGAATAGGAAAACAAACTGTAAAGGTTGCATTGGAATAAATTTAGGCATCTAAAAGCATTAGAAGTTCAAAAATCACTGATCTAGAATCTGAATATCTTGATAGCTGAATTACAGGTGCTCAGGCTTTCCTCTCTTTACCTTAGTCTTTCCTAAGCAGTGTAGCTTTTGAAAATGGAATTTATTTGCCTTTTATCCAGCAGTTCAATAGACTAATACTGCATCATGCAGTTACTTAAACCTTTTCCTGGAAGATGTATAATTTTTTTCATTGCTGATTTTATGGCACAAGTGATTATGATGTACTTCTAGCTCAAATATATGTTGTCTGTATATTCAAAATTATAACAGGAGACAAAAAGCATTGGAAATCAGTGCCTAATGTATGTTTCCAATGTTGGAACTTGAGTGCTCTGGAAAATGTTAACACTGTTTTGCATTCTCTATGTTACTATGTAAAAAAAAATGTTAAAAAGTGCAATCTGAACAAATCACATAGGAAACAGGAACTTACTGTACACCAAAAAATTGCCAAATACACAAAGTCCACAATACTAAGAAAAAATAAAATGTGACCACTTTCAAATTCTTTTCAATTGTTAATTTAACAAGTCAAACAAGTAGTAGAAAATAAAAAGGAAAAAAACGCTTAATATTTTTTTAAATTAGTAATGGTTAAGTTTTAAGAGGCTTCATTAAGACTTTAGACTTATCCTGTGTGTTTTGAGAACTCCATTTAACCAACTTCCTTTCCCCATGACATGTTGCAGGCTAAAAATTTCAGATCAACTAGAGCCAAAATGCACAGCGCATTGCAATGTTGATCCCTGGAAATTGATAGGCCAATCCTGTACCAATTATTATAGTAGTTTTGCTACTGCTTTCAATTGGAGGTCACCTAGAATTATTATCATTCTATGCTGACCTCAGTTCTAACTGATATTTTATTTGTTAACATTTATCCCATGTCAAGTATTTGCAATTATACGCAGGGTATTTTATTCAAATTGAAGTAACTTTCATAATTGGAAAGCTGAACATTGTTACCAGTGTCAAAGGTGGGAAATGGAAGTACACAGCACGTATCAGTTACACTTAGGGTAGGTACAGGGGACATCTGCCAGTGCCAGGGATATTTGTGATGATGCATGGGAAGAAAGTTAGCAATTGTGGGATTGTGAGTCTAACCATAGCCTTTCACCTGTGTCTGGAGATGGCATCTGTTTCCTCCATCTGTTCTATTCCTCTGCTTATCATCCCACGTATGATCCCAGGCTGGAAGCTCAAAACAAGGAACAAAAAGAACTTTAATGGAGTTTCAATTAACAGTGTTCTGAAGTCCCCATGCAGCAGGTGGAGTTTCAGTGGGTACATATGGCCTTCTCTGAAGGGGAGGAAAGTGCAGCAGGCTGCCATAAACTTTAATATCCTGTGAGGAAGCTTTCCTTAGCAACATTCTGTCTAGGATAGGATGTGTACTGTTTGACATAGAATTGTAGTGAAAATAAAGTTAAGAAAGTCAATTGCCCTTAGAGAATATCCATTTGGTGGAGCTTTCTGATTTGAAGTAGCATTGCAGCTTCTGCTTAAAATTCCATTCTTCATAAAACCCAGCAAACGAATTTTGGCAACCAGGGATAGCTTACAATGAGAGAACAATGAGATACATTGAGGGAAAATAACTGGCTACTTCATAACTGAAGAAATTCACTGCCATAAATATCTTCAGCACTT